GAGAAACAGGACTTATTCCTGAAAAAGAAACCTAGCCTAACCCTCAGTTTTTTAAGCAGGTTATTGACATGACGTTTAAAAGTGAGACAATCATCAAGCCAGATACCAAGGTATTTGTAACAGGTAACCACTTCAATTTTGATTCCTTGCGTAGTTACAATATCTACAACAGGCTCTGGTGTCTTTTTAGCTTTTGAAAAGAGCATTACCTTGATTTTATCAACATTTAAAAGAAGCTTTAGTTCAGAGAGCTGAGTCTGAATAATGTTAAAAACTGCTTGCAATTCAACAACAGCCTCCTTAACACACTATTTTAAAATTAAAAGTCATAGTATAGTACGTCAAAAATATTAGAAAAGATGTCAGTGTATAGTATGTCAAATTGTATTAATTTAAGTTTAAATAAAAGCAGAAGTAGTAGATTTTTTTAAAAAGACCCTCTACAGTATATGCCTACAATTGATGCAGAGAGACACGGTGGGCTCGGAGCTGTCATTACATGGAAATATCATGTCCTGCTGACTAGGATTCAGATAGAAAACCGCTTTAATCTGCTTACGAGTGTATGTATAAATGCACGGGAAAACACAGCTTATGTAAAAAAATCAGAGTATGTCTCAGCATTTGTCTCTGACTTCCCTTTAATCCTAACAGCATTTCATTCCATTACAAGACATCAAATCTGGAATCTGCCAAAAGAAACACAATGAAAAAGGTTTTATTTAAAATGAATTAAAATGTACACAACATAGATTTGTACATGTTTTACATTTAGCATATTTTTTCATTTAGTATCAAAACTACAGAAATATCAAATGCATTTTATCACAAAGTTCTTCTATTAACACAGATATTAACAAACTCTCCTTATAATATGGAAGAAAGGCATCTCCACTTTGAGCTATTAGCTTGAGATATATATATATTTACAGCATGAGTCAACTTAAAATAGCCCGATGGTGCCTGTTATGTGTTAGTGTTACAATTCAGTCGCAGAGTTTTCCGACAAATAAGAACCCTGCAAAATAAAAAAACATCTCAAAGAATATGCAATCAAACTTATCATTGATCTTGATTCAAGAATTCTCAAAGTGTGTTTGTGTTTTTTCATCCAGATGTTTGAAAGAGATGTTGAGAATTATGAAGTTACCTTTACAACAGCAGTAATCTTTGTTAAATGATCCTAGTTTTTAAGAATACGGTATTTTTCCGGAAAACCGAATGCTCAGCCCTGTGACTGAACCAGCAATATGATACATTAGAAGGAAGCACACTTACATTATTTACAAATACACATCTATGTACAGTTGTAGATTTAGATGCTAGTAGAGCTGAGCTGCACTTCCTCCTTTGCACCTGTCCTCAGACTTCCGCCTCTTTTTCGGCTTTTCTTCCGAGTCCCTGCACAGGCCTTCATCGCTGGCTGCCTGCAGGCTGTCAAAGGTCCCCTGCCTCTCGGTCCCCTGGAGGTTTCCCCCATGCAGCCTGCGCTTCTTCCACAGATTCACGCAGCGATCGAAGCAGCTGAACCTGGCCTCCGTGGTGCAGGCGAACATGCCCACTGGTACTGCCAACACCATGGCGCACACAATGACGATAATGTGGATGAGCCTCTCTCTTTGCTCCAGCTCACTGATGTCACTTCCTGTCACAAACACAATGCACTGGCCTTCCTTTGGCTTGTGGTTCTTTAAGGTCACGCACACCTCGTACTTGGTGACAGGAAGCAGGTCGTTGAGGCTGTAGGTGTTGATGCCGGGGCCGATATAGATCATCTCCTTCTTGGGTAAATCAAATTTACCAAAGTGGATGGTGAACCAGGTTTCTGCTAGGTTGTCTGTTTCTGCGTGCCACTCCAGGGTGATACCGTAAACTGTCTGCTTGGCAATGCGGATGTCAATGTTGGAATTTTCCTCGGACGACACCGTGGGAACAGGTGGAGGGAGAAGAGCAGAGGAGTTGAAGGGGCTGATATTAACCGTGATGGCGACAGAGGAGTTGCCAATGAAATTGTTGACAGTGCAGGTATAGAGTCCTTGGTCTGCTAGGTGAAGAGAGGGGATCACCAGCTCTGAGGTGATGGTCTCGTCGTCTGTGTTGGTCTCTGTGGCTGCAAGGAGAAACCATAGAGTCAGAGGTTTGTTTACATGCGATATAGTCATAGTAAGGTAACACTGAAACGGTATTGTTCCTGAATCTTTTCATTATAGATGCAGCCTGAGTTTGACATACATCACACTAAGTTCTCCGGGAGCAGATTCACAACAGTTTAATGGATGGTAGTAATAAAAAATAAATCTTACCCGCAAATCCTCTTATAATCTTTAGACTATACATCCACTTAATGGTTGGACCTGGCCTGGCCTTTACTAAGCATGTGAGCGTTGCATTTGCTCCGAGAGGTAAAGTGATGTTAGTCTCTGGGGCAGAGGCCACTGGCTTCATGCAAGTTTTTAACTGGATCTCATGGAAGAACTTGTCAGCTTTGGAGGCGGGGCCTGAGCACATCAAATAAGAGTTCATGAGAATGATGGGAGGGCTGACCGTCCTGATGAATTCAACAAAGCCTTTGAGACGACAATCGCACAACCAGGGGTTGTCATGCAGTGCCAAAACCACATTTGAGACCACGCCTTCTTTCCCCCATGTTTTTTCTGCAGTTTGGTAAAGAGGCCAATTCATGAAGACATCTTTTGATATCACACTAAGCTGATTGAAGGATAAATCTAAGTAGGTCAGTGCAGGTAAATGTCTCAGAGCGTGTTCGGGCAGGACATCCAGTCGATTGTGCTTCAGGTCCAAAATCTTCAGTTTTGGCGTGTCCTGAAACGCTGTCCATGTTACTGAAGTCAGCTTGTTCCCTTGCAGTCGGAGCTCGGTCAGGTTTGCCAGCCCATCCAGACTTTTAACGTTCATCAAGGTGATCTCATTAAAATTCAACCAGAGGAACTCCAAGGCACTAACTTTAGAGAAAGATCCCTGCGGTAACTCGGTCAGGTGGCAGTTTTCAATTCGGATTTTAGTGAAATCATGTGGGATGTTGTCTGGGATACGTCCCATGGAGGTTTCCATACATAGTAAAGACCTAGAATGGAAATGTGGGATATTTGTAGACAATTAAAGTGTTTATTTTATATATCTACTCATGTACATGCACCATTTGTGCAAATTGTAAGATATTGTTCACAAAGAGCTACTAACTGGTAGCATTGGGGTTAACACATAACCTACTTTAAGAGATTGTATAGTTTCAATGTTCACCTACCTTCCCAAGTTGTCATCTGTGCAAGAGCAACCGGTCAAACAAGTTGATGATCCAGTGGTGAAAGGATAAAATACCAAAGTGATACGTAATGCGACACCAAAGTTGTCCATATTCCCGGAGGAGCATGTGAAATAGGCCTGTGAGGGCAGGACAAGGGCTGCGTGGAAGAAAGCCTATTACTTTAATCTTCATTGACGTAACACTTAAGACACCGAGTGACATGTGAGACACACAGGAGACAGGAAAGGTATAGCAATAGTACACCTTGTCTGGAAAACATCTTCAGATTAGCTCAAAAGAAGGACAACACAATATGTTCAATCAAAATGGCTTAGCACCAGTGTATTTGTCCCCTACCAAAGCACAGGCATTGACAGGAGGGCCATCTGTATTAAGCGGGCCGGAACCGGTCAGGCTTAGCCGCACAGAGAGACAGAGCCGCACAGAGACAGAGAGACAGATGTCTGGAGAGGACTGTAATCTGACCTCTCTAATCTGAACACTGGGTATCTCTCAGGTTGTTAAATCAGCATAAAAAACAAGTGTGAAAACAGACAACATCTATAGTCCTTGAGTTTCCTACATATCCATGTTCTTTATTCCCGCGCATGCTAGTTTTGACAAAGCAGACAAAGACATTAATCCGCTATTGGTAATCTCAGCAATCTCCATATTATCATACACATGTTAAATTAAGTATTGATAATTGTGTTTGTTTACGTGCATGGCAGTACAATTCATCCAGAGACAATTGCAAACTTTCTTGAAATAATGCTATCTAGCTAGTTCTGATTAAGGGAATTTGATCCAGGATTTTTTATTAACTTTTTTGTTAACATTTTATATTCTAGACTTTCAAGTTAAATTCATTACACCTAAATCTTTTTCAGAGAATGCAGGTGTGGTTGATGCTTCACATGTTAACAGGCCTAAACAAAGCTCGCTAGCTGCTCTGAGAGCTATGCTAACAGGTCTAATGTTTACCGTCTTAGTTTAGTGTTTAAGCATGTGCTACTTAGCCATGAACACAGAATTAGTGCTTAGTGACTTTGGCTGTACCATACATTAGCATGTAATGTCCCTTTAGTTAGCAACATGCATTATGCAACGTGCCAGCAAGCTAATTTTTGCTTCATTCAAGATGAATATTGCTCTATCTATATTTTGCGAAGAAAGAAAAAACTTGGGAGCATACATCAATATGAAAAATGTTTATTTTTATATAGTACATTCATGTATATAGACATTTATTTTTGGTCACAAATATTTACACATTATAAAATGTACAATATTTTAGGTTTTTTGACCCAACATTAAACCTGGCACATTAACGTACTTACATAGAAAATATACTTATAACTGCTGCTTCATCATCTCTCTAAATACTTAGTTTTTAAAACAGATTTTAACACAATGCAGAAGTTACATTTTGGAAAAATTGAAATTATTTGATTTCAAAAAGTTAAGGTCAACATTTTCCTCTGCAAAAAAAACTTTAAAAGTGCATGATGAATACAAAAAAAAGTTATTTATTACAAACATACTGTACACACAACATGTAAATGAACCGTGTCACTGTGTTTATTTTCCCTTTTTCGTGGACCACCAAATGAATGCTTGTTTTTATTCCTACAAGGCATTAAATCAACTCCATACATCCAATCAGTGTCCGCTGTCCTCAGTCTTTCAAGTCTCTGAGCACAGCAGTAATCTATTCCCATCGTAAACCGTTAGAAAACAAAGTGCATCATCTGGAAGTTGAGGCATTCGTTTGGTTTTAGCAGAAGTACTCGTTAGGTGGCCCCTCGTTCCTGGCTGTGGCCTCGGAGTCAACACTGGACCTCGCTGAGAGCAACCTGTTGGATTCATCAAGGTTCATCCTGGTCAGATACTCGCCCTCCACCCCTTTACCTTTGGCCCCGGGGCCCAGGGTCTCAAACGTCACGTACGCGTCCTGAATTTCTTTGGACTCTCGCCCCAGTAGCTTTTTGCACTGCTTTTTTAACGCCCCGCAGCACACGATCAGTGTCAGGGGGACGGCGATCACACATGCCACTGTTATCACCACCACATTAATGAGCTTCTGAGTGCCGCTAGCACTGGCTGCTTCATCTGTTGAGAAGATTACACACTGCTCCTTTTTCGGGATCAGGCCCTTGACGCAAACACAGGCAATGTACTTTGTTTTAGGCACAAGACCGGCAATGGTGATTCGGTTCTTCCCGGCGGCTACGTTCAGCCGACGCATGTCTCTCTCGCCAAATACAGCATAAAGGACGCTGAATTCTGTGATGTTTGTGGCTGTAGGGGCTCGCCAGTTCAAAGAGACGGTATGGTCCGTGTCGCCAATCACTTTCACCGAGCGCACTACCCTTTTCTCCGGAACTTGCTGTAAGGATGAGGCATTGGCTGCCAGGTTGCTCAGAGCGCCCACCTCCACCGGTTTCTGAGGGTCTGCTGCCTTGCCTTTACCCTTAGAAGCACCATCAGAGATGCTGTAGCTCTCAATCTCATACTTCCCAGTAACTCCTTTGCTATTTAGAGGTTCGATTATGGGCCGAGCAGCTGTGGTGGTTGGTGGAGGAACGTATCTGGCAATAAGTTTCTCCTGGTATGCCGCTCTTCCCATTCCCCCAGGTTTCTTCCCTTTTGTTTTCTTGGAGACAGCAGCAATCGATTCCTCCGACTGAATGGAATCTGTAATCACCAAAGAGATAATGGCGTCTGCAGTGCCCACAAAGTTGGTTGCTTTGCACACATATTTCCCAGAATCTCTGTAGGCGACTGCAGGGACACTCAGAATCGACCATATGATGCCCTCCTTCGAAATCTCTTCCTGAACTGTATAATACAAAGGGCAGACGATCAGTGATTAGTTAAATAGATTAGCACAAAAAGAACAGCTTTAATCTCATTGACACTTTCACTATCAACAGAAATAGATCATGTTCTATTCTAAGCACATCTGGAAGTAGATCAGCAGAACTTACTGGTGCCGTTCATCTTCTTGCCATCAGCGCGGCTCCAAGACAGCTCGGGAATGGGGACTCCAACTGTGCCACAGCGCAGCAGGACGTTGTTGCCCAGTGACGAGCGTACACGAGCCACGGCCGTGTGCACCCGTGGGCCCTGACACCTCTGCAGCTCCACCTCAGTGAAAAGAACCCCTGACAAACTCTCTGGATCCGCGCACCGCAGCCTGGTGTCGATGAGAGCAACAGATGATGATGGAGATTTCTGAAACTCGACCAGATCGTACAGTCGGCAGTCACACATCCACGGATTGTCATGGAGACCTGCAGGGGAAATCAAGTGACAAACAGCAGTCAGTAAAACAAAAAGAGTGCTGTCACCATAGTCCAGTACATTTTCCTAAGCACAACAAAAACAAGTAGTACCAGGACCAAGTACATGTGGCTGTTTGTTTAAATGAAAACATTCATCGTCATTACGACATGACACACATAATTAGACTAATCCCTAATTTAGCTTTAAATGCCTCTAATGTCAAAGAACTGGTCGTCATGCAAGGCAGCTTAAAAATAATAAGTTCTTGTGTCCCAATATGTCACCGCTTGATCCTCACCGAGAATTAGTTTAGAGGAATCTGCTTCCTGGGATGGCTTCACACTCAGCCACAATGTGAGAACTTCAGAGGGAACTGTGTTCAGAGTGTTGCTGGATAAATCCAGATAGGTGAGATTCTTTATGTAAATAGTGGCATCGGCTGGGATGGCAGAGATCTTGTTGTTGTGTAAGTCCAGGAGCCTCAGGGTTGGCATGTCAGTCAGAGACTCCCAGGGGAAGGAGGTCAGAGAGTTGCCATCTAGCCGGAGCTCATCCAGGTTGTACAGACCCCGGAAACTGTCCACATTCAGTGTATTCAGTGAATTAAAAGACATCCATAAAAACTCCAGGTTGTTGAGGTAGTGGAAGTTGTCACTTGAAATCCGTGTGATTGCTGTCTTTTCAATTCGCAGCTTCGATGTGTCACTGGGAAAATTTGGAGGAACCACAGTGATCTCTGGGTCATTGCAAAGTACACTCCTGCAGAAAATAACACAAATATAATTAATTAAATGTTCAGTTAGGAGGAACTAAATCAATGCTTCTTTAAAATTGGAGGGTGGATTTTATAATACAAAATATGTTTTCAGCCTTCATTTTGGATTTAAAATAACACAGTTCTGCAGATATTTGAGAAAAACGTAGTAACCTATTGTTTAGTAACAAGCAAAGGAGATTAAAGGGCCACTCCAAGTTAATCCTCCACTATACAGAGTGACAGGACAGAAGAAGGCTTCCGTGAAAATCACTTTGGCACGCACTAAAGAATAACACATGCGGACCTACTGAGAGTTAAATCCAACGACTATAATGCTTAATTTAATAAATTGACATATTTACCTTGCTTTTGATCCGTCGCTTAATTTGTGGTAGAAGCAGCTGCATTGTGCAGGACATGAACTGCACAGCAAAGGGAGAAAAACTAAAGCCAGACAAAAAGCAGCAGTAAAATGTCGACTCATTTTTAAACCTGCAAGCTACAAAAGGCTAAGCAGCTAAACTACAATTTAAAAAAAAGGCGCTACAGCTCGCGGTTAACGGGGCATGGGATGCATCGTGGTGGATTGCAGGCTCACAGCTCCATACTGCTCTGACTGGTCTGAATCCTGAGATAAAAAGGATAGGCAGGGATTAGTGAAGGGACTTGGGTTATTTTCAATCACACGATAAGGCTATTGCTTCCTGAACCCTGATAGGCTGCACCGTTTTTACTTTTATTCTCTGAAGAATACTTTCCAATAGTTGATTGGATGGTTTATTGTAGACACGTAAAACTGTACCGCACATAAATAAAGTGGAAGCATACAACTCTATCTGCATATAGTTTACCTTAATGGATAATTGAAACAATTTATTTTGCCGGATAGAATCATTTAAAAAGGCGAATTCCTAGACACAAATGAAATATATATTCTTTTTTTTTTTTTGTTTTTGAGTAAACACTATTAGAGTGATGGGACACCTACCTCAAAGTAGTCACCAAAAACAGATCACAACTCTGATATGAAAACCCAGGAATGTTTTACAGTTTCAGGACATGTTCATCTTTTCTTGGTATGTTAGCCTGTACTAAAATAATGGCTTTTTATATACGTAGTCGTGCATTGATAATGTTTAGTACATGCTGACAGGTTGAATCAGCATTCAGAAAATGTGCAATACACGACCACTAGATGGCAGTGGAGAGTTTCTGCAGGCACCTATTGTCTTGTGTTACTCACTTTCTTTATATTAATCCCAAAACTTCTTTAAACAAGAACAAATATATCACTATGTAACCATATACAGTTGATCACTGGGTTTAAATAAATATAAAATAAACCATGCTTTTTAGTAATGTAATAATCATGTGAGAATATTCTTGCATTATTATTTATTTATGATGCTGTATTATGTTATTATCATTTGCATTAATATTCTGTAGAACATATTAGTATTTTATCTATGACACACTTTATGAGGACAGAAGTGTTGTCACGGTTTCTGAATTTTTTCCCAGGTGCAGAGGTTTAGACACAGCCGTGCAACAGGATTTGAAATCCTTTAATCCAGTCATCTCTCTGTCTCTTATTAATACATCTTTGTTCTATTTCTTTCAGGAGGGTTGTCCTAGGCCAAAGGAAAAACATAAATCCAAGAATAAATGTTCTCATAGCCCAAGTCTGTGTACAGCTTGAAAATCCCACTATCTGGAGAAAGTGAAATAGTACAGAAAAGCAATTGGCCAAAATTGGATGCACAATTGCTCAACAAGGGGACCTATTATGTAAAATCCACTTTTTCACGTATTTTATACATAAACATGTGTCCCCTCTGTGTAAAGAGATTTTGCAAGTTTCAGTAAAAAATTCCCCCTCTCTTTTTCTCCTGATCCATTTATATAAAAACCTGTCTGAAAAGGAACTGATCAGATTTTGGCCACTTTATGATGTCATAACGATGTCATTGGCTTGTGTAACCATTAGCCAATAACCAACCAAGGTAACAAAAAAAAAAAAAGAATAATAGGGACCTTTAAGTTAAAGTGGAAACACCAATTAAAAAATATTCCAAAAAGTCCTGCATTCAAAATATTGCTGAAGTAAAAATACATGAATTATTCAGCAATAATATATATCAGCAAATTGATCAAAGTGTCAAAAGTAAAAGTATTAATTATACATTGTACACACACTTATTTCAGTTATATTATTGTTTGTGTGTAGGGATGACAATACAAGTGAATGTGCAGTTACTTTCCATCATGGCATTATATTCTTATGGTAAATGTAAAATGGGACAAAATATCTAGCATCAAATTACAGTGGAATGATAATTAATACTCCTCCCTCTTAGTTGTTGAGGAGAAAAAGCACCCTAATGCCGTATTTCTGTGATACTTGACAGGAATAAACCAAAACATTAGTACAGTTTTTCATCTCACTCCTGTTCTCTGGAGTCTGTCGGTGTAAAGGTTAACAGTGGACCATTGTTTAGTTGCCAAACCAACAGATTATGACGATGTGATTAACTATTGGTCAATGCATCAATGTGTAAGCACTGCAAGCTTGCAAGCACTTTGGAGAAATAAAAAAGAAATATTACAGACAGGGTTTGTAATATTTGATTCAGTCGAGTTACAGTTCATTTCCTCATTTGTTGCTAGCCTCCTGCTAAGATCATATTGATTAACAAAGTAAATGAGATAAGGATTTCTTCCTGGAAGATAAGGCTTTATTGTACTAAAGAATAGTTTGTTGTCAACTACGGTAGGCATCAAACAGTACACGAAAGGAAAGTACAAAAATGAAGTTGTTCAGATAAATCTTCTCTAAATTTAAAAGTACATCTTTGACGTTGGTTTTGAGGATATTTGCAATCGATCAATCCACTCTATTCATGTTGTTGGTGATATTGGTTTAGGCCGGCTATTATTTCCTCACACTCAGCTGTAGAAGATTAACAGATTGTTGTATTTAAACATTTGCATTGTGAAACAGGGACTGTGCAGCTCTATGGACTTGACTGTGAACATTGTATATCCTACTGTTGTGATTGGGCATAAGACGAAATATCTGATACACACATCATATGCTCAAAATGTTGTATTTTATCTGTAATATTGAGCAGTGTCAGAGCAGTGATAAGCATCCACTCTGCAGCTCTTTTGTCTGTATGTGAGGAAGTCTGTAACGGTACGGCTCACTGAGCTCTAACTCAGGACAATATGGATGGTTTGTGAAAAGGGTATTATAAGTCTACCGGGACACATCATGACTTCATAGTTAATGAGTTTGTGGTAATCTGTTGGCAGATTAGTTATGCAATCAGACTCCCCAACTGTTACATTTTTAAATGTAAGGGCTGCCTCAAGTCAAATGTCAATTTCCAGATGCACGTGATACTGAGGGTTATTTTGGTGAACAGAAATGAATACGTTTGTGATTAATTCTTAGATGTCTTTATTACTTAATGTGGCTAGTAAGTGTGGCTCTATAGTAAAGTTTGTGTTGTTGTGAGTTGTTTAATTTATTGACTGTACATCCATAATTTATATATTTTGTGAAAAGATTAAAACAGGGTTTCCTCATTAAAGGTTTATAAAACATGCAAACTTTGAGCTGAAACCTCAGATTCCAATTGTTGAAAATAACATTGATTCTCTGTAAGGCAACAGAAATGTGTCCATAACATGTCTTAAAAGTAAATGATACAGCATGTGAGGGTTGTATTCTGTCTAAATGACTAGTGTTGATATCTGGTAGTTGGAACTAAGGGGCCTTTTACGTGGATTATTAATGAAAGTGAGTTTATACATTGGTGACATTTCTTTCCTGTGCAATAGCAGGTACACATCTCGTTATGCTGTTGTAACCCTATATACTTAACAACATAGGCCTATAACTGTTTGTAATATGTGCGTACCACTTTACAATAAGACTCTTATAAAGGGTTTACAAATAGTTTGTACTTCATTTATTAATTAGGTTGTGAATACTTTATACATCATTAATAAGCTTTTATAAGACATGAGATAAACAGGGCAACTGGGACCGGTTGCTTGCCAAATAGTGAGCCCACATGTATCTGTACTGCTAAACCTTATTATAAATGGTAGTGTTTTACACTTTACAATAAGGCTCCCTTTTGGCAGTTATAAATGTTAGTAATAAATAAATGGTCATAAAGAGATGCCAAGAAACATCAAGATGGATGGGGGGAGAATCAACTCAGTGAACAACAGATACCAAGGATGTTGGCTGATGAAGAAGACGAAGTAAGCTAGGTAGCCAATATAAGGCTTAGTCACCTTGCCAAATAGTGAGCCTGTGTTGATGTATGAAAACTATGTTAGAACTGGTTTATAAATGGTTCTTAATGATTAATTAAGTGTTTACAACCTAATTAATAACCTAATTATAAACCCTTTTTGAATCCTTTATAATGGTAGTCTTATTGTAAAGTGGTACCAATATGGGTATACACACAAATGTATACAATTAATTTAGTTGTTGACGTTTTAAAATAAAAAACCTAGATCAAATTTAAATGCGCAGTTCCTTATTATATTCATGGATAAAGTAAAAAAAACGGTCCAATAATACATTATTTATATGGCCCAAAACTAAAAATGTGCTTCAGACATCGGAGAGACATGTCAATGAGCAGTAATAACATGAAGCTAAAATAACCATTACATGGTCATTCTACTTATGTTGTGATATGTGAAGTGAAACCTACAATATGTGGGGTTAACATGCTTCTTGGTGTCTCACATCTTTGCTAATCGATACACTTTCGTGGAAAACAACATTTCCCATGTTTCCATCCCCCCCGCCCCATTAACCACAGCATCATAAGAGCGTCAGCCGAGCCAAGTTGTTGAGGGAAAAGTTCGTCTCTCCAGAAGTTTTCCTGCTGTGGCCATACATTCACTCAAATTGACCAAAATCACAGCTGAGCTCTGAATCAACAAACCTGAACCCAAGAGTTGAGCAGCAAACGCGCAAACTTTTGGTGATCGCACATTTGCAGAAAGTTTGCTCGTTAGGACATTCTTTGGGGGATTTCAGGAGGGGTTAACTAAGATTAGTGTCTTTGTGCTTTTTCACGTGAAAGAGCCTTTATAAGGCGTCGTTTTGCAGCAGACGGTGGTGCGTTACACGGGAAAAGGACCTGTTTTTTTATGCAAAAGTTTGATTTGTGTACTTCAATATGGCATCGTATTCATTACCGGAGGGATTCACGGAGTTTGATATGTTTACATACGGCTCGGCGCTTCTTGTTGGGGGTAAGTGAGTTCAACGAGCACACCGGAATGTTGAGACAATTAAAGGGACAGTTCACTCTGAATTCCCCTAAATAATAAAAGCATCTTAAATCAGGAAATCCCAACCTTTCATGTTGTTCTCATTGTGATGTTAACAATTAAGCTGGTGATATTATGTACAACCTTACAAAGAACTGTGCTGATAAACTCTGACTAATAACAGTGAAAACTAAATAGACATGTGTTTTCTTTTTTTACTTCAGGCCTGCTTGGATTTCTCCTAAATGCTATCAGCATCTTGGCTTTTGTCAGAGTGAAGGAGTTGCGAACTCCCAGCAACTTCTTTGTGTTCAACCTGGCTGTGGCTGACCTCTTATTGAATATTAATGGACTCACAGCTGCGTATTCGAGCTACCTCAGGTATCAAAGATGACTTCTTTATACAAAGGCCTCTTGTTCTTTATACAAAGGCCCCTTGTATTTGATATTAGCCAATGGGTTGCACAAACTAAATAACCTTTTGGGTTTCACAATCCAAACTCCACTTTATTCAGGGTGGAACGATAATTTTTTTCTACATATCTATTTGCAGGTTACCTAATAGGATCTTAATTTAAATGTTGCAACATTTACTTTTGTAACATCCTGCTAAAGCCTCAGCAGGCCAGATGAACACACTAGGGGCCCCTATTGACCCCCCTTATTGTGTTGACCCCATTATGAACTGTGTATGAACCCTACACCATTTGTTCTTTAAAATGAACCATGTTAGCACCAAAACTGCAATAGTAAGACACATGATTAAAGTTTATTTTTGAATGACTGTTTTGGTGAACACCTAGAGTTTTTACCTTTTCAGGACTGAATAAAGAGCACATCACTCTTCGGGTCTCACATATTACTATTTGTCTATGTTTTCAAGATTGTTTCCAACATGCTTTTACAGCCTGATGTAGTCGTATAGGAAATGTTTGTAATATTTGGTGTAGGCAACACCCCCATACATGCTGGAGAATGATCAAAGTTTGTTGTCCTCTCTAGATATTGGCCATTTGGTCAAAATGGATGTGCCCTTCATGGTTTTCAGGGCATGATAGCGGTCCTTGCCTCCATCAGTTTCATGGCTGCCCTCTCTTGGGACAGGTATCACCAGTACTGCACCAGTGAGTACGATACATCACCAGAAAGGTTCCACTGTAATATAAAACATCACTAAAGTAAACCCATTTAATACACTGAATTACACAAACCAATGAATAAATATTATAGAAGGCATTTGTATTTTTATTGTCATCAATATTCCATTGAGCTCTTAGAACATTTAAATAAACAATGCACTAACCGAATGTCTCAGATTCAGTCTTTTTATTGCAATAGAAATAGCAAAAAAAGTCATTACACACGTTATTAGCTATTTCTAAACAAACAGATATTTCATCAAATGTCTACTCACATCCAAGTGACAGTATGTATGCGTTTATTCTGTAGAACAGAAGCTCTTCTGGAGCACCACGGTGACGATGACCATCATCATCTGGGTTCTGTCCATCTTCTGGGCTGCTGTTCCTCTCATGGGATGGGCCGCCTATGACTTTGAGCCTATGAGGACCTGCTGCACACTGGACTACACCAGAGGGGACAGGTGCAGTTTAGAAATATGCAATGCTATCAAAACTAGAATGTTGGCTTAGTCAAAATGGCCAGTTTTCAGTTTTTCATCACAATAAATTCACAATGCAATGCCTATATTCAGCAGAAAATGACAAAACAACACCTGCACTAGGTATTGCTAATTATTTTCCTCTTTGTTTCTTTTCAACAGGGACTATATGACCTACATGCTGACCCTGACGCTGCTCTACTTGATGTTCCCCGCTTATATCATGATGTCATGTTACGACGCCATCAACAAGCACTTCAAAAAGATCCATCACCACAGGGTACATGTGCTAGATATATTTTAAAAGGAACTTCCACTTCTTTTTGTTTTGATGTTAGATCAGTTTGACAGAAGAAAATGCCCTTTTCTAATTATCAACCTGAACTCTCCTGTCTTGTTTGAGTTGTTCCTATTGTAGCTTACACAGTGGCCATTTTAATTGTCATACTTGGAGATGCTAACACAATGAGGCCGCCAACATGTCAGTAGCTACTTAAGTTGAATGTGTGAATTGACCTCCAATCCTTAACAACAACAACAATACAACAACTACTATTACTGTTAGCAAGGTAGTCACATTTGAGTGTTTTACTTACCTTACAGCAGCAATGAGGTAAATAGCATTCAAGGTTAAAGGAATAGTTTGAAACTTTGGGAATTGCTGTGATCCTCCTTCTTGCAAACATAAAAACAACATTATTCTCACGTCTATAACTAGTAGGTATTAAACTTAGCTTAGCATAAAACATCTAGACTGTCTTTGTGCAGAGGTAAACATATATCTAAACACCTTTTGAAGTTAACTAATGAATATGTTGTATTTCATTATTCTTGCACAAAGCTCAGTGTTTAGAGAGTTATGCACTACAAATATATATTTTCTGACTACAGTGACATTGTTATAACCAAACTATCCAAGTTCTATTTCCACTACATTTAATGTGTACAGCAACAGTAACACTTAATGAACTTTGTTCTCCAGTTTAACACCAAGGTGCCGTTGAGGGTGATGCTGATGTGCTGGGGCCCCTACGTCGCCATGTGTGTCTACGCCTGCTTCGAGGATGTAACCGTCGTATCTCCCAAGCTAAGAATGGTAAGCACTTTTTTTGTTTAATTTAACATACCATTTGGTGAGAAAATACCCTACAGAAAAAAAGAATTGACTGCTAATTTCTATCTCTGTGGGGCCTTATCTGCCAATACTTTGTTTTAATTATGGCCACTGAGGCAGAAATGAGACCCAAACTTGTACTGCCCTTTAAATCAAGTACTAACACAGAGAAAATCCTTGTGTTCACAGGTGCTTCCAATTATTGCGAAGACAAACCCCTTCTTCAACGCTCTCCTCTACTCATTTGGAAATGAGTTCTACAGAGGCGGCGTGTGGCACTTCCTCACCGGAGTGAAGATTGTTCAACCGGATATTAAGTCAAAGCCAAAATAAAAGTCCTAAACAAACATTTGTCTTGTTGTAAACATAATTAAGCTCTGATGCCTGTACAGTTGTTATATTTTCATGTGTGGACTGACAGCTGAAACTCATGACAATCTCTGCATTTTTTACACCTGAGTAAGATTTGTGTAAATTAGCTAAATGTGTTGCATGTAATGTAATAACTTTCCAATGACTGCATTCTACAATGTGTCTTTAATCTGCTCCCCCGTACATGTTAGACCACCTACAATAAACACTTTGTATTGCTGCTCTCATAATGTATGCTCCATCTACTTTAAAGCCACATTGTTTTAAAGCTGAATAGCTGAGCTGCTTTGAGTAGGAAGTCTAATTTCTACATGTAACCTGCCTCCAGACATACCCTCACTGTGTAGGTGGTTCATAGTGATGTAACTTCTATATATGGTAAGAAAAGCAGAGACTGTGTTAAGACTGTATTATGCAATTATACTACGTGTAAACAACTGGGGTAAAGTAAACTTAAACTAATTTGAAAGAATCCGACTATTTAAATCCATAAACTGATAAATGAAGAGGTAGATACTGTGTTAGATCTCATGTTGGATTGCCTTGTAGCTTAACAAAATAAACTGGTGTGCCAAAATTGAATTTACTAAGTACTCTTTGCACACGTCTTACATTGTGATGAGTTGTTTAAAAACAATTTTAGTTGTTGGATGCCACAATGCTCATAAATGCATTTTTTACCAAATGGACTGCATATCAAACCTGAAATATTTTAGTTAAGTTTAATCTGATAAACCTATTTGACTGAACGAAATGAGAATTTAAGCAGCTGGACTGACACAGTGGAATTTGATCGTTGAACCCAATTTCTTAGATTACATGCAAGCCATTCTGTAGTTTCTAAATATGAGCCATTCATCCACTCCAAGGGAAAGAATCCAACCTGCTGATCTCTGAGCTGCTTAATACATGCACTCCAGAAATAAGCCTGTGTCACAATAACCTCAGGCGCTACTGACGTTACTGCCAGGCGGCCGTCAGCAGGTGAAATCCTCTCTCCACCAATGGCAGCCTAAGGGAGGAGGTGCCGAGAACCCTCTCAAAGCCATCCAAATATATGTTTCCGTTGACGTCCTACATTACCATAACATCTATATCACATGTAACCAATCCTTTATCTTCTAACTTTTCCTCGTAAGCATTTAGTTTTGTCTGAAAACCCATTGACACCAGATCAATGCCTTTTAGAACTACACTAAACAAGTGAGACACACCTTTTTTTAAGGATTTTATTCCGCATGCTATATTTATAATTATCCAAATGAAGAATCAGCAGTTTAATTGAAAATTATATTCATATAATGTGACCTAATTACTCCAAATCACAGCATAATTGTATTGCTTAACTGGATGAGTTGGACACACTCATCTTTTAATACAGGATTTTTTTTTTTTTTTCTATTTTCTATTAAATATAATATTTATTTATTTTGTAATATATCTTTATATTTGAATAACATTTTTGGTGTAAATAGAAGGACCATCAAATCCAACAGTTGAATGTCTAGTTTTGTTTTTTAAGACATGTTTAAAAAAACACAGAAAGCTAAATTAAGTGTAAAGTTGCTAAGCTACATTTGTCAGTCAGAAGGTCAGAAGGTTTCACAGCGCTGTCATGCAGCCAACTCTTTAGTGTCCTTGCAAGCTCTTTCTATGAGCAGGTATTAAATGCCAGGCCTATTCATATACTTCCTTATAAACTCCACTGCTCTTCATTCACCGGGCTGATCAGGAAAGACAGGGGAATCCAACAGATTAGCATCAAATTCGTGGAAACAGCCGATCCATTGATAGACAGCTGATTGCAGGACAAGTGTTTATAGACCAGTGATCTAATTCGGTCAGAGCTGTAGATAGAAGCAGTGTTATAGCAAAAGGCTCACAGTACCAAAGGAGAACGTGTCACAGACAGCTTGAGCTTAACGACACATTGAGCTAGAGACTCAATCTGACTTCTGTACAACCCTTTTCATTTGCTAGAGAGGCAGGATTTAGATTATGAACCCAAGGGATGAGGTGAAGGTGTTGCTGTCTGTGCTTGGATATGACCGTTAGATCAAATGCTAGTCACAGTCAGAGTAAAACATCTGTAATAAAACCTGACGCAGCAGAAACAGCAGCCCCACCACACAGGTGCACAATGTGTGACATGTTCAGAGAGATTTAGTAATCATATTGTGTCCTAAATAGCACCAGAGAAATAGGCTCATTGCCAGAAATGCTAATATTCTGAGGCCCCTGGTGCAACTTCAACTCACTGAGAAATCTTTAATATCATTATCTCATCTCCAGTTTTTCTAAATTCATCTAATTTCTTCTTCACCCACCAATGTGACAGCACAAGTCATTTGAAAGAAACGACCAAAATAAAGACACACAGAAGTGTCCAATATCAAACGTTATTGTCCAAGTATGCACTCTGCAGGAGAGATAAACCAGAACAAGTTACATTTAGATAAAAAGAGCCTGAATCAATCACTAAAATCCCTCATAATTCAGAGAATATTCAGGACATGGCAATCCCTGAAGAGCCATGACACAAGTTACGATTTAAATATCCAAAACAGAACAACCAACATAAAAAATGCTGTCAGTGGTGCTTTTCTTTTCTATTCTCAAACTCTTAGAGCATGCAATATACATTGTATTAACTGCAGCCTGATAATTTACATAATCCAAAAAGATGAGGCATTTTAAAAGGCGGATTATGGTCAAAGAGCGCTTTATCTTTTGCTAACTAATGATCTGTTTAAGTATACAAGATCCACTTGTTACAATTTGGAGGGGGAAAGCAAATAAACAGACCGTTTTTCCCGTGTAAAAGCTGAGCGACAGAGGTCAATTGAGGAAGATATTGTTTGCATTAGCTGCGAGGTTAATGATAAACTCTGTATTGGCCTGATAAGCATGGTTTATGTTACATTATTTAGATGAGAGCTTGTGAGAGAGGAAAAAGCAAAGGTCGCAGTGAAGTAACACGATACAGTCCAGGGGTCAGATTATGTGACACATTAGACAGGGACACGTCACATGACAAAAACAAAGCTTTTACGTAACACTGCATGTGTCGGTCCCTAAACCATAGATATTTATTTTTTCACACGATAACAAATTGTGTTAAAGATGTGGATTTGTTCTTGAAACATTTAAAAAGATTGTTTTCCAGATCTGGATTAGATGATATTTGCGTCACGAGCCGTTATAGACAGCCTTTCTTCTGGCCTTTATCCTCTTTTACATTGTCTTCAAAGGCCAGGTCACTGCCCTTATCTCAACCCAAAAGACCAAGCCGACACTCAGAACTCCTGCTGCCTCTGCCAAGCCACCAGCATGAGTGAGAGGTTGCAGTATGGAGTCACATCCCTGTAGGAAATCTGTGTTTAAAAAAAAATGAAGCGCATTAATCTAACGACTGCTGCTGTGCCAAGCCTTCCTCATTAGTGAAATTGGGCAGCTATTTCCTGTGGTGTGTTAATCCTCCTGTTAGTTTATTAATGTTCTTTTTCTGCATCAAACACTGCCTGCATGTTACACGACATCATCAGACAAAATGCTGCTTTATAAAAGTTATCATTATAAGCATTACAAAGTATTTCCTTTCTCTTGGTTGTACATTCAGTATGAAAATACAAGATACATCCGGGATAATCTAGTTTCACAAAGAGGACACGAAGTAGTAATACATAGCATGAGGAACACAATTCACTGTTATTGTTATCTTAATAATACTTTGTAATAGTTGTAGTGGAAGTAAAATAAGATAAATAATCTCATAGGACCTTTTCCCAGATACTATTGTTTTATTTTGTATTTAAAGGGATACAAGTGCTGTAAACTATTGTGTAGTTTATACATTCTACACAAGTATCTAAATTGAACATACTAGTCCCTGTTAAAAAAAAATAGGAATAAAACGTTTTGTTTTTAAGAATTTAACTGATTTCAAAACACATTTTACACCATTTTGTAGCACCAGAAAATCTAAAATAAATATATTCAATCACGTTTTAACTTGGACTGAAGAACTCAGGTTGATTTAAATGTGTGGTTATTTATCTTTCCAAGAAAGGAGTCATGTGTTTTGAGTTTTTTGTAGGGGCAACCCATAAACTGAAATACAATGCTGACCTATAGGTAAAACAGCTAAACCATGGATTGCATTATGTGCAAGTCTTCACTGCCCTCTACTGGCAACATTATAATGGTTCTAGTAAAGAAATAGTGTTTAAAAAAGAAACAGGAAAAACAAACAAAGCTTTTATTCGTTTAATATGATGGGAAACAATTATTGGTGTGTTGTTTTTACACATTAATACAATTCAATAATCTAAAACTACAGGAGACAAAAAGGAGCGAAACATAAAAACATCAGATTTAAGTGATAACCAAAGTGATAACAAGTTCCTGTAATATCATAGGTTTTTAAGCTATCTTTACCTTTATGGGCAACATCACTGATAAGAATTGTTTTTAACGGGATGGTTTTACCGGTGTTGTAAGTCATTTCTTATTTCTACCACAAGATGTCACCCGTGTCCTGTAGAAAATCTAAAAAGGTCCCTATACATCCCCGTACAGTGTCAAGGTGTCCTCATTGTTAGTAAGAGCTGCCTGCAATGGTCTTTTACATTAATACATGGTTTTGTGGTTGTTGTTTTTTCCTTATATGTTAAAGTTGTTACTGTTCATTCAAGTAATACTCTGTGTCTGTGGTGACAGGAGCTGTCCAAAGCCTCGTGGTGCGGAAGTTTCTTCAGCTCCTGCAGCAGCGGCTCGTTTATGAGTTCAAGTGTGGTACACATTTAAAAAACACCACTAATATAGTAAGCTTCCAAAGTTTTCTTTTTAGCAACAATTAAGTATACTGACATTTAATGAAATTTGATTCATATAAAGTGTTTATATTTGTTTTGTATTTATGTTTGTACTGTTTTAAGTCTCCTTTGGGATTTAACTATATCAAATGTACCCATGGGCGTAATTTCCACTGGGGACAGGGGGGACATGTCCCCCCCACTTTTCAAAATCCAGTTTGTGTCCCCACCACTTTTCAAATGTGTTTTTTTTTTTTGTTTTTTTTTACGTAAGTAAAAGTGGTCATGGAGGAGCGTCTGTGTGTGTTTGGCAGGAGCGCATTTTGTGTGAGAGAGAGAGACAGAGAGAGACAGAGAGAGTTACGGGGGTTGTTGTTAGCATCTGGTGCTAGCTCGGAGCTAACTGAGATTAGAAGCTGTTTCAACAATAAGGAGAGGGAGAGTCCTCTCCTGTCGGACTGAGAGGCTGAGGTAACATCAGCTCAGGGAGGTAAAGGATTCGCTGAGTGATTATATTGTAAACTTTAGTCTAAGTTATCTCAGTGGGTCTAAAACGGTTTGGTCTAAACAAATATGTCCATCTATTTAATATAGTTGTTCAAAATAAGTAAAACAACTATTCCAATGTCAGTAAAGAATTAAAAACACAGTTTGAAAGGGGATTGATTAGTAAAATATGCATAAATAAAAAGAAAAAATGCAGACTAGGTAAGATAAAGATACTAATCAATCCCCTTTCAAACTGTGTT